AGTTGAAAAATACTTTTCGATGGCCAACTTCATAAAATGGTCTTGACCGTCAACGAACTCAAGGACCTGTGCATGCGCAGCCGTTGTCCGAAGGGCCGCGGGTTCAGTTTTGGCGGCGGCCTAATTCTTATTTGAAACCCAAAACCGGACAGCCGGACACTAGGACCAACAGACACGTCTAGCGTTTTATATATAAGGAAGATTATTGATTTATGCGGTATTGACTTTTTTGTGCGAACCAACACAATCAATCGGTGGCCAAATTCAAAAGAGGCGGGCAATTACTGACAGCCAGCTGGTGTACGGTAGAGCGCAGTTGGAAGAGGGGTCCTTTTTATCAAAGTGGGGTGGCAGGCAGTTACCTTTCTATCCATGATAACATAGATCAAATTGGCTGATCGAATCGTGCTCAAGCGATGAGCAATCACCAGAACCGTCCTTCCGGAAGGGAAATACTGCATAGTGATTTTTGGAAAAAACTTTCTGTTTCACAAAATTTGTATTACAAAATGTTAGCTTTCTAAACCTATTTCAGAACTTGACAACTCAAAAAAAGAGAAAAATCTAGATTGCAGACAACTGGGATACTGTATAAAATTCTGAACTACAGTACGATTACATTGTGTCACAGTGATCATAAGAATTCTCTGAAGTGCTCTCTGAAATCCTGATTTCCGGAAACCCTTCGAAAAATAAACTTTTTATTACAAAGACTATTAAAACAAAGTTCTGAAAAGACACCGAAAAATGACAAAGAAATTGAGCAAAAATGAAATGAAAATCTTTTTAAATTCTAGAAAAATTATATTCCTAATCCACATTATGTGCTTCCACTAATTTTCTGTACAACGATCCCTTCTTGGCCATCAACTGTTCATGCGTTCCACTTTCAAGTGCCTGCAAAAAGAGATGATTGGAAAAGGCTTCGCCCCTTTAAATGTACCTTTTTATCCTTGATAACATAGATCAAATTGGCTGATCGAATTGTGCTCAAACGATGAGCAATCACCAGAACCGTCCTTCCCTTCATCACATATTCAACGCTTCCTGGACCAGCTGCTCAGATTGAGAATCCAATGCTGACGTGGCTTCGTCCAGAATCAGAATCGGTGGATTCTTCAAAATGGCGCGGGCGATGGCGATTCGTTGTTTTTGACCGCCTGGAATTGAAAAATTTGAGGATTTTGGGGTTTGTGGCTTGGTGGCCTAACTTTCCCAATTTTCTAGGCCACCAACTTTCATGGTCTAGAAATGGTCAGATGGTATGTTTTCTAGGTCATTCACTATGGTGGTCTGAAAAACTCAATATGCAAAAGTTAGGCCACTAACTTTTATGACCTGGAAGTGACCTGATACTAACCTGGTACGTTTTCTAGGCTATTTACCTAGGTGGCCTAACTTTCACACGCTGAGTTTTCTAGGCCACCAATTTTTATGGTCTAGAAAAGTTTACACATTTATCTGGTGTGTTTTCTAGGCCATTTCACATAGTGGCCTAGGAAACTCGACTTGAAAAAGTTAGGCCACCAAGTCAGATGACCTAAAAAAAGAAATACCTGAAAGTTGTGCTCCTCGTTCACCGACGATTGTGGAGTATCCCGAAGGGAATCTAGACACGAATTCGTCGACATGGGCGGCTCGAGCAGCATCACGGACCTCCTGATCTGTCGCATCTGGTCGTCCATATCTGATATTCTCCTCCACTGACGTGGCAAACAGGACGGGCTCTTGTGAGATGAGCCCAATGACTTGCCCACGAAGCCATTCCACATTCAACTCCTTCAAATCCCTTCCATCCAGTGTCACTTTTCCCGTCTTTGGCTCATAGAACCTCTCCAATAAATGAGTTATCGTACTCTTTCCCTCTCCACTCGGTCCACAAAGTGCCACAACTTGTCCGGCTGGAATCGACAGAGTCAGATTCTCAAAGACATTGTGTCCGGGGCGAGTTGGATAGGAAAATGAGACATTGTCAAATTTGATATCACCCCACAACGTGTGATAAGGGATACAGACACCTGTATCAATTGGGATAGATGGTTGAAGACGTTGGAATTCGAGAACCCGACCGCCAGCAGTCCATCCTTTGATAGCGGTTCCGAAGATTATGGATAACTGGGAAAGGGATCTCTGGATAGTTTGGGCGGAAACTAGGAAGCTCATAAGTGCTCCAGGAGTCATTTCTCCCTTGGAAATGAGATTGGATCCACCGTAAAGGACAGAAAGGATCATTCCATTTAGGAAAAGATTGGTTCCAGCTTGGAAGAGCCCTATTCCGATTCCCAGTTGCTCTTGCATAGCTCTCGCTTTGTCCAATTCGTTATCAAATAGTTTTGATTCTAATTTCTCCATTGCGAACGCTCGAATCGTTCTCATATTGGTCAGAGCCTCATCTGATACTGCGGATGCTGTAGCTGATTGGGCTTGGGCTCTGGAAATTCAATTTTTATGAAAATCTGGCTCCTAGACGTTTGCGAACCCGTCAGTTGCGAACCGCGACGTTTGCGAACCACGACACTTGCGAACCCGACAGTTGAAAACGCGACGGTTGCGAACCACGACGTTTGCGAACCCAGGTCCGCAATTGCGCGTGGTGGTGTTTGCACAGAAATGCGAAAATCTTGTTTTCAGCTTTAAAAAAAGAAATATTGCGTATTCTTTGTTAGAATTCGGGGAAATTTGAAGAAATACATGATAAAATAATACAAGTTTTTCAGGAAAATTTTTTTTTGAGTTTTTGTTTTTTTATATACGATTTGAGTTCTATATATAACCTGTTCCGTTTATAGAATGGCTTCTCGCAACTTCAGACCGATTTACGCGCACGCCGGATATTCCATACGACCGGTGAAAATGTACAAAGACGGTGCAGAATTATTGCATTGCACCGAAAGGTAATTTTCTGAAATTATATAAAATTATTCATTACTATACACAACATTATTAGAAAAAAAGTACAGTTGTTGCGTTGTTGCTTTTGTTGTTCAATTTGTTGTCATTTTTTTTCGATTTTGCTTCGTTAATTTTGTTGTCATTTCTGTTCTAAAATAAATTTCAAAAAATTTTTCGTGTTTCTTCTATTATTTTATCATGTATTTCTTCAAATTTCCCCGAATTCTAACAAAGAATACGCAATATTTCTTTTTTAAAGCTGAAAACAAGATTTTCGCATTTCTGTGCAAACACCACCACGCGCAATTGCGGACCTGGGTTCGCAAACGTCGTGGTTCGCAACCGTCGCATTTTCAACTGCCGGGTTCGCAAGTGTCGTGGTTCGCAAACGTCGCGGTTCGCAACTGACGGGTTCGCAAACGTCTAGGAGCCGAAAATCTCACTATTTGTGTTAATCTGATACAAAAATTGAAGTTGTGAATGACAAACGCCGGGCGCCGAAGGTCTCACAACGAAAACTACCGTAACTTTCAAAAATTGTTAATTTCAGGATTTTTCTCGTTTTTTAATGCCTTTTGCCGGTTTTTCTGTAATTTTCTTCTAGAAAAGTCGCAAAATAACAAATTTCGACAGTGAAAAAATGCCTGAAAAAAACGCACAAAAATCTAAAAAAAAACCGAAATCAAAAACAATTTTTTCTTCGATTTTTTGCCACCATTTTTAGACCGTTTTAGGTTTTTCAGTTATTTTTGAAGATTCTTTTTCGATTTTTCCGAATTTTTTGTCTGGAAATTCAATAGAACGGTGTTCGATTACGGTAGATTACTGTAGAAAACCTTGTAGTTTGTAGTTCTTGTAGTTTATTGTATTGAGTCTTATTGTAGTTCTTGTTGTGCATTTTTGACGTGATTGTGTTCGCAAAAAAACTACAAAAGAAAATTAGGTTTCTACAGTAACCTACAGTAGTCTACAGTAATCAAAACACAGTTCCATCCAATATCAAACAAAAAAAATTCGGGAAAATTCGAAAAAGAATCTTCAAAACTAGCTGAAAAACCTGAAAGGGTCTAAAAATATTGCAGAAAATCGAAGAAAAAATACGTTTTTCTCTCGAAAAATTGCGAAAAAATTGCAAATTTTTTCCTTTAGAAAAGTCGTAAAATAACGACTTTTGAGAGTAAAAAATGACTGAAAACGCACGAAAATCCACATTAAAAATCCGGAAGATTAAACTATATTTAGGTTACAGTAGTTGTCGTTGTGGGACCTTTGACCACGGCCGCCGGCGTTTCTCTTCCACAGATCCGATTTCTTCCTACTTCCTAATAATTCCTAAAACTCACCTCCTGCTCAACTGTCTCAAACCGGCTCCAATCGCGCTACCAGCCAAAATGATGCCTGGCACCACTGCTACCGTATACATTGTCATTGTTGGAGATAGGAAATAGAGAGATCCAATGCATCCGATGGTCTGAGCAAAGGTTCGGAGTCCTTGACTGACACAGAGCTTGAAGGAACTCTTGAATTCCTGGACGTCGGCGTTTAGGCGAGCGGAGAGTTCACCGGTTTTCTGGAAAAATTGGGAATTTTAAGAGATGCAGAAGTAGGGGAATCTAGAAAATTGAAAATTTTAGAAAACTGAATGTCTATGAACCCAGGAATCAAATAATCCGAAAATCGCGAAATTCATTGTATGTCAACTGATTTTTTCAAATTCCAATTTTTGGAAACCCACCAAAAACCCTTATTTTAGCTCCTATAAAATATATCAAAATTATGTCAACTGATAAAATATTGGTGATATTATGACAAACATTTTTTTAGGGTGGGCTTCTATTAGAGTGCTTATTGTTTTTTTAGGAAATTTCTAAGATTTCAGGAAATTGTGTTCTCAATTTATGTAAATTTGGAAGTCAATTTTGAAAATCTAGAAATCTAGGAATTCAAAAATTTAAAGTTTGGATGTCTATAAACCCAGAAATGTAAGTAAACCCAAAATCCTAGAATTCGAAATATTTCAACCGATTTTCCAATTTTCCAATTTCCAAATACCGTATTTCCTGTAACAGAAGCCCACATAAACTATCAACTTTGAGCTCAATTATCTCGATTCCTAAAAGAGATATCAGTAATCCGTCAACTGATAAAAAGTTTGCCGTAATATCTGCTACATTTTATTAGTTGTCAAAGTTCTGATATCTCTTATAGAAATTGAGATAAATGAGTTCGAAGAGCAAGTAAAGGGTGGCCTTCTATTAGAGTGCTTACGGTAATTGGGATTCGGAAACATTGAAAATCAGTTGACATTCATCAATTTTAAGGTTTTCGGTTAGTTGATTCCTGGGGTTACAAATATCCAGATTTCTAAAATTTCAATTTTTCTAAATTCACAGATTCCTAAATTGCTTAAAATACCCCCTTGTCAACCACATCCTGTCAACCTGTGTATCCATTTATCTAGATGTCTCCTCTTCTAGGACCCTTCTATTAGAGGAACCATTCTATTAAAGGGGCCCTTCTAATAAAGTTTTAACAGTATCCGATCCCTCTTTTTTGGCCCATTTCATCCCCATTTCCTTGTCAGTCTGCCTATCCATTTGTCTAGATGTCTCCTCTAATTTCCGATGTCCATCACTCACTCTTTCTCCACCCGTTCGCTCCCATTCATTCTCTTTTTTGGACTACACCGAAACCGCCCCGTATTTTAATTTCCGCTTGTCTCCCCTATTCTCCCCATTTTTCTGCTTCTTCATCCCCCATCCATCTGCCAATCTCTTCTCTGTGTGTGGTGGGAAAACTGACACTTTTGCTAGCTGACTGGCTGCTCGAAATAATTATCAGGTGCATGTATCCCACAAAAAAGTACACTCTATATCCGTTTTTGCGAAAACTTGTGACTTTTCCTGTCTAATTTTCGAAAAAAATCAAATTTTGTTTCCGGAATTTTAATTTTTGGTTCCTATAAATATCAATAGAGGCGGTGCGTATTTATAGAGATGGAATTGAAGTACATCCTACGAATTTCGTATAGTCAGAAGAATTAAAAATGTAGGAGAGAAGAGCACTATAGTGCTCCCAAGCTAATGTCTTTTTTACGATTTCATTTGTAGATAGGAATTTCCAGTATGTTCTGGATTGTCCAGAATCCAAATTTTCCGGATTTTCAGAGTTTTGGATTACCAGATTTCTTGCCTTGCAAGTTTCTATAGATTATCAGTTCCTGAAGTTCCCAGATTCCCAGATTTCCAATTTTACCAAATTGATTAACCTAGATTTCCAGTTGATATCATAGTTGCAAGCGGGCATGCCCGGGCAGATGGCGGGCCGGATGATAACTTGTCCCTAGAACGAGATATTCAGACTGTTTTGGTACCAAATGATAGATCTCGATAGGGCCCATCAACCGGATTCCGGTCCAACAACATGTCGAAAAGTGTGTTTGAATGACAATTTTCGATCAATTTGACGAAAGCAGATTTTTTGTCATTCAAACACAATTTTCGACATGTTGCTGGACCGTAATCCAGCACAAATAACGAATGCGCGATGGGCCCTGTTGAGATCTATCATTTGGTATTAAAACCGTCTGAATATCTCTTTCCAGAGACACGTTTTCAGCCGGCCCGCCATCTGCCCGGGCTGACCCGCATGCAACTATGGTTATTCTGATACGAAAAGTCAGAGCCAAATGTCTCAACTACAGTAACCTAAAAATTTGGCGATTTTTCGAAATTAAAATTGATTTTTTTTTCGTTTTTTTTTTGCAATTTTTTTAGACGTTTTAAGGTTTTTAAAAGCTATTTTTGAAGAATCTTTTTCGATTTTTCTGGTTTTTTTTGTTTGAAATTTGATGGAACGGTGTTTTGATTACTGTAGATTACTGTAGTCCAGTTTTATTTTGCGTTTTTTTGTCTGCATTTTGACGTGATTGTGTTTGCGAAAAAAAAAACTACCAGATTTTCTACAATAATCTACAGTAATCGTCTTTCAAGGAATCCTAAATTTCAGACAAACAATTCGGAGAAATCGAAAAAGATATTTTGAAAATAACTGAAAACCCTAAAAAGGTCTAACAAGGGAACCACAACACCTCGACAGTTTGGATTTTGATGATATTTTCAGTATATGTCAAGGATATCCTATCTAGACATCCCTGAAAATTTTAGAACACGCTCGTCAATTTCAGCCGGGTTATATCAGTTTCAGTACCAAAAATCGCGTTTTCAGTGCAAAAATAGCGATTTTCAAAGGCGATTTTCTCCGCTCCCAGGAGGTTCCAGAACATGAAACTTGTTTTGCTATACTCAGAATTATGTGTAATATCATATTTCAGACATTTTCTGAAAAACATTGAGATTTTTTTCTACCATTTGGGTGGGTGATATTATCGAGCTTTTGTCAATTTGGAAAATTTCCAAAAAAAAAAACACTAGAGGGTCCGAACCCGCAGCCTTGTGACTACTGGCGCCCACCACATCCCCGACACCACGCCGTCGACATTTACTATTGGTTCAAAAGGCGCTTAAATGTCAGGCCCTCTTCAAACTCCTTTTAAAGGGATTTCGGGGATGAAATGTGTGGTAAAGCATGCAAATCAACGGATTTCAGTACTAAAACTTTGGACTGATATAACGCTGCTGAAATTGACGAGCGTGTTCTAAAATTTTCAGGGATGTCTAGATAGGATATCCTTGACATATTCTGAAATTTTAATCAAAATCCAAACTGACGAGGTGTTGTCGTTCCCTTGTAAAACTTTTGCGAAAAATCGAAGAAAAAATCGATTCCTTTTCTTGATTTTCGTTCAGTTTCCGTCTGTTTTATTACTAATTTTTCGCCTTTTTTGGGGAAAAAATAACAGAAAATTCGAAATTCTAGGTTACTGTAGTTATCGTTGTGGGACCTTCGGCTACGGCCACCACCGACGATTCCTAGATTTTTAGTTCCCGAAATTTCTAAATTTCCGGATTTGTATTCTCTAAAAATTTCTAATTTTTCTATACTTCTAGATTTCCATTTCCAGATTTCCAGATTCCAAAAAAATATTTTTATTCTAGATTTTTCAATTTTTTCATAGAAAAACTAGACTTCTATATTTTGGAATTCCGAATTTCCTTATTTCAATCCTTCGATTTTCAGATTCTTTCTTATAATTTTTTCCCTACATCTTCAAATGGGCGGAGCCTATTTGTTCCCTCTCCTTTGCTCCTCCCAGCTCCTCGAAGAGTCCTCTTCACTTTCATTTTCCAAAACCCCAACCAATCTTGTTGTTCTAAAAAAGTGGAAACGAAGGGAAGGAGTGTCCATTTCGTTTTATTACCACAATTTCGTCCTTTTTCCTTTTCGACAAAGCACAAGAAAAGGCACAAGAAATCAAGGGGAGCTCACCACCACCTCCTCATTTCCTTTCTTATTGTGTGCATTTTCCTTCCCCGCCAGTTCTTTCTTTGGTCATCGCTCTCTCTAGCGCTTTCTATACGACTACAGTAGTCTTCATAGCGATTCTGGGAATCTAGGAATCAGCGCACAGCTACCGTAGCCTAATGTGCTTCCATGTTTTGAAGAGCCCGTTTTTGCTTCGACTACAGTAGTTTTGTCTTGTGCTCTAGCTACCGTAACCTATCTCAAGATCATCGCTCACTCTTTTGCACATTCTTATTTTGAAGAGCATTTTCTATACTACTACAGTAGTCTTCATAGCCATTCTTGTGCTTTTTGATCTAGTCTAGAATAGCCTTGCAGTTAGCTAGCTACTCTAGCTACAGTTACCGTAGTCCTTTCCAAGCCATGTTCAGTATATTCTATGGCTACTGTAACCTATCCCAAGAAGCTTTTTTATTTTTGATTTTTTTAATGATAAGAAATCTTATCACCTACATGAGAATCAAAAAACGCCATATCGTGGTGTAGAAGCTTCTGGAACAAATCCGATCGTAGTTTCGTCGCCATCCTCTCTCCGAGAATCGTCAAAAACGTAATGTACAAAAAAGTGAGAGCAGACTGCGCGACGTACAATGTCATCAGGTGCATGGCAGATGGTCTCAGATGTTCGAACTGCGAACGAAGGTTCTTCGATTCGTCTTTGATGATTTCCACGATTCCATTCACTAGGTCACCAAGACACAGAGGGATTTGGATGTTGATGTAGGCTGACAGAATGGCGCACTGCAAAGATTTAGAGACTTTTAGAAGTTTGAGCCTTTTTGGTAACTTTCTTAATTTATCGTAAAACCTGTACTAGAAGGGCCCTCACACAGTCGACTTTGAGCTCAATTATCTAGGTTTCTATAAGAGATATCAAAAGTATATCAACTGATAAAATGTTTGTGATTTTATTACAAACAATTTATCAGTTGACTGCTTTTTGATATCTTTGACAGGAACCGAGATAATTGAGCTCAACGTTGGGTGAAGAGTAGACTAAATAGACACATCTTCAGTCAAGTTGTATCAGTTTCAGTACTAAAGAACGCGCTTCCAGTGGAAAAACAGCAATATTCCCAATTTCTAAGACGTTTCAGAACATGAAGTGTGTCGTATGATACTTAGAATTTAATGAAATTTCAGATTTCAGACATTTTCTCAAACAATTTTTTCAGATTTTCGATTTTTCCACCAACTTGGATGGGAGATTTACCGTATTTCCTCTCATACAAGCCTACTCAAACCGTCCACTTTGAGCTCAATTATCTTCGTTACTGTGAAAGATAGCAAATATTTGTCAACTGATAAAATATTTATCATAATATCACCTAGGTTTTATCCGTTGACAAGTTTTCGATATCTTTCACGGGAATGGAGATAATTGAGCTCAAAGTGGACGGTTTGGATGGGCCTCTATTTGAGAAAATACAGTACATTTTCAGAAATGGCATCCCAACGTTGGAAATTGTCTGGGAAGTTTCTCAAGCTTGGATCTGTTCCGGAATTTCCGAAAGCTAGACAAGTGCAAACCTATGTCAATACTTCTAGAACTTCAACGGAGGAAGCAGGTGATTTTTAGCATTTTAATCATTTTTTGCCGCTTCAAACAGCTCGCTGGTGCGCCTTCAGCGCGATTCAGATAATTTCTTGGCTTGTGGCCGTGGCCGAAGGTCCCACAACGACAACTACCGTAATCAAAAAATTTTGCGATTTTTCGCAAAACTTTTTAGACCTTTTTATGTTTTTCAGCTATTTTTGAAGATTATTTTTCGAATTTTTTGTGCGCTAATTGGTCCCTCATACAACATATCCTTCTTCTTATAATGATTGATCAGCTCATACCACAACTCATGTCTTGAGAGCACTTTAGCATTTCCAACAACCACGATTCCATATTTTGCACGAGTGATAGCCACATTCAGACGCCGAGGATCGCTAAGGAAGCCGATTCCGAGTATATCATTGGATCGAACACAAGTCACAATAATGTAGTCCTTCTCACGTCCCTGGAATGCGTCGACACTGGCGATTTCAACACCTTCATAGAGCTTCGAGTTCAGCGTTCCTTGTGTTTGCATGTAGTTGACTATG